GAATTCAAACACACAGTTTACAGAAATGGAAATATGAGTGATCAATCAATATAAAAAAATCCTTGATCTTAACAACATAATATTTTAAAACCTAAAACTACTCCGAGGTATCATTTTTCTCTATCAGACTGGCAAAAATTCAAGTCTGATAACAACAAAACATAATACTGATAACACTGATCCTAGAGCCAGAGTACTTAGTTTGAGTTTCTGCCACAGTAGCTGTGTGATTTGGGCAAGGCATTTAAATTTTCTACTCATTAAGTATTCTTCTGAAAAATGGAGATAATAATTGTACCTAACTCAAAGGAGGTTATTAAGATGAAATGAAGTAATGTATATAAAGCACTTAGTATCTGGTACATAGGAAGCACCATGTAAGTATTAGCTGTGATATAGTTAACGTTAGTGAGTGAACAGGCAACGTACATTTTGGAGCAACCCCAAAGGAAAGCAATTCGGCAATACATTTCATAGTATTGCCAAATACATAGTAAAGCATACATCGTTTGACTTAGAAATCCCACTTTCTACAAAGTTATCCCACAAATGGCCTTACACACATGTAAGGTGGCATGCATATGTTCAAGGGTCTCCATTATAGAACTACTTATAATATCAAGACTAGAAGGAACACAATAAGGAACTAATTTATTTGACTAGAAATAAATTATGATACATCCATTCAATGAAATACTATGCAAAAAAATTTTTTTTTAAAAAGCAGGAACTGAGATCCTGCAAGGTGTGAGATGTGGCCAAAAAATAAACAAAGGGTAAGAGCAAAAACTGTAAAAATAAATTAAATTTTAAAAATTTAAAAAGCAGAAACTATGTACTGAACTGGAAAGATCTCTAAGATATATTAAGTGAAAAAGTAGTTTAGGGGTAACAGTTTGAAGGTGCAGAATAGTGGGGACCATGGGCTAACTTCTGCATGAAAAGTAGAAAAAATTAGATTACATATTCATATTTGTAAGCATCTGCCTAAAGAAAGTCTCAAAAAATGTAAAGAAACTAGTAAAAGCAGTCGGGAAGGGAGCATGGGAGGAACAGGCATAGGAGTGAGATTTTCACTGCTTATATAAAATATATAAATGGGCAACTAACTATTTGAATGTATTACCTTTTCAAAAATTAATTTTTAAAAATAGCTCAGAGCATAAAAACTTCGCCTACAATCATACAGTTAATCATAACAGAGTGGATTACAATTTTGTCACACTGCGTTTCTGAAATTTTCAAGAATGTAAGATTTAAAAATGATCACAGGACTCCCCGGGTGGTAGAGTGGATAAGAATCTGCAAGTCAGTGCAGGGGCACAGATTCAACCCCAGGTCTAGGAACTAAGCCCACGCACTACAACTACTGAAGTCTGTGTGCCTAGTGCCTGTAATCCACAAGAGAAGCCACTGCAATAAGTCCGAGCACCACAAGAAGAGTAGCCCCCAGTCACGGCAACTAGAGAAAGCCCACGCAAACATAAAAAAGACCCAGTGCAACCAAACATTTAAAAAAATAGTCACAAGTGAGACTTCCCTGGTAGTCCAGTGATTAAGACTCTGCATTTCCACTGCAAAGCGAAGTAAAATCCCATATGCCACATGATGTGGCCATAAAATAATAATAATGATGATGAAGTTTTTTTAAATAAAAATTATCACAAGTAAGTTTTTCTCTGAAACAACCACTCCCTCAACAAAAGTAACACCAATGTGACCACACTGAAGTCATCTCCATATGATGACTTGGAAAATATATATAACAATGTGAGTCTAAAATATTCACCATCACCTACACTATTCAATGCAATAATTGCCTTTCATTTCCTGGAAGATGAAATTCTCATAAAAGCCCTTATCATAGGTTTCAAATTCCAATACAACATTCATTTTGCAGAAAAATGAAATGTACGACACAGAAATTATATTTGTAAAAACTTTCACATTGAGAAAGAATCATTAAAGTCAGCTTTCTACTCTAAATAAGCCGGAGTATGAGTACATATAAATATGAAAATGTGTAACTTTGTTTTTACAAATAACCTAAGTACAAAATGTTATTGGGGATAATGGGTTGGAGAGTCCTAGCCTAGCTTCTCAACATACACACTTTTAAACAGAACTAAACAGGCCTGAGTTCAGTCGCTCAGTCGTGTCTAATTCTTTGTGACCCCATGGACTACAGCATGCCAGGCCTAATGTATTCCAAATTACAAAAAACTGTTCGAGACCACCATCCCAAATATATTTATCTATATGAGAGAATACATCATACATCCAGTGTATCAAGTATCTGAGGATTTCAACATTAATTCACACACAAGCACACAAGTACTTGTACCACCTACTACTGCTTTTGAACAAGTGACAAGGAATGTCCAACTCAATTTTGGGTCCCTTAATTATGAGCAGCCCCACATATAGGACCCAGTATCTCCTCTGTTCAACTTCCTGCTTCATAGTGAGCAACTATGACATCCATATTGATGACATATTTGTCATAGTCCCTTATCCTCCCACTAGTTCAATAATCTCTATTCCCCTTCAACAGCACTGAGACAGTTACATATTGCTTTTAGTTTTTACCTTGAAATTATATTTATATTGAACTCACAGCTTTCTCATTTTGTATTTCTTACAAAACCTAGTCTTCAACCACTTTCTGATTGTCTCCTTATTCTCCAAGTACAGTAGCCCCAATGAACGTTTTATTTCTTATAGCCCCAGCTTGGACCCTCAAAGTCCATCACATCTCCCACACTATCGTTAGCAATGTAAAGTTACTCTCCATTTTATCTTTCTTGTAAATTCCACTTCTGGATCCACCCAATCATCTTTTTGGCCCTCGTGCTCAGGCTGCTGAAGAAGTGTAAAATCCATGGTGCTAGGCCCCATTATAAATATTACTGGACTTACATGTGGTTAGCAATTTTTTGTTTGTTTAATCCTTAATCCATCCCTCTTTCATTTTCCATTCAAGATTTCCAAGGCCATAAAACTCAAGCCAGAAACTCACCATAGTTCCTTCAGTCTTTAAAGATAATTGACTTCTCCACAGATAACCGAGCACATCAAGAAAATAAAACCATCTTTAAACTCGCTCACCTTCTTTCCCTCCAACCACATCAGTATCCATATTTAATGTCTATTCTTGTGATGTCAAAAAGTGAAATGCTCAACATATTAAAATTTCCCCTTATAAATAAAATTTCCCTTCAACCTACAAAACTGTTTCACTCATACTAAGAAAAACACACATGTGCCATTGTGGAAAGAACACAGGTTTCAGAACTAGACAGACTTTTTTCAAATTCTTGCCTATAGCCTTCCCAGCTATAAAAGAGGGATACTGCTGATACAAAACAAGGCTGTTGTGATCTTTAAAGCACCTCTATGATATGCAACATATAGAATAACCTCAACAAAGGTGTTTCGCTACTATCAGTTTCCCTTCACAACCACAATTGTTGAACAAGGAATTTTACCCACTGTTTCACATTTGTTCCTCAATCCATCATGATCCAATTACTGCCATCCATCATTCCCAACATCAAGCTATCTAAAGTGTCTTTCAAAGAAAACAAGTGATCTCCTAATTACTAAATTCAGTGGTTTCTTCCTAATTCTCATTATACTGATATCATACACTGATAGTCATCCTCTCCCTTCTTGAGATCCTTTCTTCCTTTGGCCTCTATCATAATGCCACTCTGTTCTAGTTCTTGTCCCATTCTTTTAACCTCTCTTTCTCAGTGTCTACTACCCTACAAACAATCATATTCTTCCTGGTCCACGGCCCTTGTCTTCTCTTCTTTCAGCATTACCATCCATACTAAGGCTTCAAATATCCTGCATATATTCTTAGTTGACACTCAAATATATGTATCCAGTTCCAAACTTTCTCCCAACTTTCAGACCCAAATTTCCAGCTACCCACAATAATATCTGAAAAACACATCAAACTAAACTTGTCCAAAACCAAATTCATTACTTTCTCTCATAACTGCTCCTTTATTCTCTATTTCAATTAATATTATCAATCCATCCCATCAGTCACATTAGAAATCTCCCACTAATTCTCTCCACTTTGTTTTGAGAGCACATGGAATTGCATGCCATTCTCTTCACTCTCCTCTGACCTGGATTAGCACATTACTTTCCAAACTACTGAGGCTGTCTGCCTCCAAGTCTTCGCTTTGAATTCTTCCTCCCTATTTTCACCAGAGATAATCAACCATACCAAACTCCTGCTTACAAAAGCTTTAAAAGCTCCCCACACCTACGGAATAAAGTCCAAAATTATTTAGCAAGTACCCCCCCCCCAAAGGGATAAACTGACAGGTTTTTATTTTTAAATTCGACAAACCCGGTTTCACTTCTAGCTAAATCTGAATACTGGCTTAGTCCAGATTGTTCAAAGTGAAGGATAAAAGGCAGAGGAGGGAAAAGGAGAAATTGGGATAAGAGGAATGACAGGGAAGGACTGAAAAGGAGCTAGTAGTGCCTGAGGGGAAGAAAGTGTCTTTCAAGGGTAGAAATGGATGAGGGAAGATTATGTTTGAGAAAACTTTGAGAGTCCAGATCTCCGTCCGAGTCGACAGGGTGAAGCTTAAGGTCTCAGACACAGGAGTTCTCCGAGGAAACGAAGGAGTCCTGTCTCTAAAGTGGGAAAAGTGCCTGAGAGGAATCGGGGACCGGGTCCCATTTATGAACGAACTTCTCACGGGTTCCGGGCCTCTGAAGAGGGCAGAGAAGGCGCGGGGGGAGGGGGGAGGGGGAGAGAAGGAGCTGTCCCGGGACCCTGAGGGAAGTGAAAAGAGTAGGGGAAGGGGCCGAGGAGTGTCCCCAGCCGCTGAGAGAAGGGCCTCCGGGAAGCGAAGGAGTTCTGCCAGTGCTAAAACACCCGAGCACCAATGCTCCGGAGCCCAGGCGGGTAGCAGCCGCGCGCGCGGGCCGGGTGCCCTGGGTTCGTGCCCCACGCGCTCTCTTGGCGTTACCTGAGGCGGGACTGAGCAGCGAGAGGGGTGCCTGCGCGGGCGGGAGGGGGAGGCGGAGGCAAAGAGGGAGCATAGTAGCCCTCACTACTCGGAGGCGGCAGCGGCTCTTAGCCTGCGGAGACGGTGGGGGTCCCTCTCACAGAAGCCGGCGACTCGGCGGGGCCAGCGGCGGCGGAGGTCGAGGAGGCTACTGCCATGACCCCGCAGACGGGGTCGCTCCCCCGGCTTGTTCGGCGTGGCCAGGAGGATGATCCGGCCGGAGAGGCAAAGAGGGCAGCTGGGAGCGCCTCTAGGCTCCCTGGCCGCGAGCGACTGAAACGCCCGCCCCGCCGGGCAGAGGAGTTTGGGGCGGGGTTTAGTTAGCTCCGCCCTTCACCTCAAGCCCTCCCTCAGGACAGCCAATCAATCGTTAATCCTTGAAAAAAAAGAGCTGGTGGAATTGCCCAATTAGCGCTAGGAATACCACGTGGTATGAGGGCGGGCACAATGGGCGTTCAGAGAAGCCAATCATCAGCCCAAAGCTCCAACTCTGCTAAAGGAGCCAATAGGAAGAAAGTGGAGGTAAAAACAGAAGAGGTACTGTGTGGGAAAGGCGGAACCAAGGGCGGAACCAAGGAGGAGGGAGGGAATACACCTGGGGGAAACCCAAGTCCGGGAGCCTCTCAGAGGCGGGGGGAACAGTCAACACAAAATGGGCCAATCAAAATGCCAAACATATAAGCTCTTGGTAATAGATAAAGCCAACAGAAAATGGATTCGACTGGCGCGGCTTTTGGGTTGGAGAAGAAACAGCTGAGTAAGAACTGTCTGAGTAGGCAAAAGCTGTATGAACGCAGAGTCCGACAGGATCTCAGTATAGTGTGGGGAGAAAACTGATGTGAACAATTATTAGAGACTTGAGATAGTAAGAGCAATGAATAGAAATGCTAAGCGAGTAACTCATCTAAATTAAGAGATTCGATTTGGTGAAGGCTTCTTGGAGGAGGGAACCCTTGAGCTGGCTTGAAAACAGGGCAGGGAATAGAATTCTGTTCAGCTGTTCAACAGGTACATATTTCCTCTTGTTTTCCCTATACCTGGACCTCAGGCAGTCATAATCTCATGCCTGAGCAGATTGGAATAGGTCTAGAGCTTCCAGGGGAAAAAAGAATGTAAACAAACAAAGGAGTATGGACCTTCTTGCACCAGTCCTTCCTGGGGTTGGAGACCTCCTTTCTGACATCTTTAGGCTTGCCTCCTGCTGGGTCTTGACAGATGAGTGGAATTTGAATAAGTGGAGTGGTGTGCATTCTTGGTGGCAATAATGTTTAAGAAAGGGGACTTCCCTAGTGGTCCAGTGGCTAAGATTCCACAACTCACAATGCAGGGGGCCTGGGTTCAATCCCTGATCAGAGAACTAGATCCCGCATCCCACAACTAGGAGTTCCCATGCCACAACTAAAGATCTCACTTGACTCAAATAAGACCCACGTGCAACCAAATAATTTTTTTTTTTTTTTTCAAAAGAAGTTTAAGCTTCCTAGTTAGCTCAGTGGTAAAGAATTTGCCTCCCAATGCAGAAGATGCAGGTTCAATCCCTGGGTCAGGAAGACCCTCCCTAGAAGAGGAAATGGCAACCCACTCCAATATTCTTGCCTGGAGACCCTCGTGGACAGAGGAGCCTAGCAGGCTACAGTCCATGGGATCCCAAAGAGTTGGACATGACTGAGCACTTGCACAATGTGAGGTAGGAGATAATGGAGAAAGAAAAGGTTAAATGTGAGTTCAGTTTAAGTGTCAGACTTGTCCTTTCTTTTTTATGCTGTGAGAACTATTAAAGGTTCTTTAGCAGGAGAGTAATCTTAACAGGACACTGCTATAGAAAGATGGATAGCTCACAGGATCTCTAAAGGGAGAAAAGAGATCAACATTGGCCCAGTTTCCTTGGCCAAAAAAGCCTTTTCTGTATCATTCTTCTGGCAACAAATCATGTGCTGCCACCTGCTGACTGTTCAAATACCATCCTTCCACATTGCTATTGGAGCCCTGGCACCCTTGCAAACCTGTCTTCCACAGACGTTGATGCAAAAGAGTTGATAAATAAGCAGACCACTGGTAGCAAGTAGATTAAATAATATCATTATGCCAGATGTATCACCTCCCCAGTGAAAGATGTAAAACATAGGGTTCCCTTGTACCTGCTTCAGCAGGAAGATGAGCCTTGATGGGAAGTTTTGGGGGTTTTTTTGAACAGGTTATATTTGACCCAGGTCTGATCTTGTCATTCCACTCTCATCAATCTCCCCAATGCTGAAGGGAAAGAAACTCTGAGGATTGCCTTATAGCTATGCAGATTTCAGAGGCCCACTCTTCATGACTTGTCTGCTAGTTAAGTCAGGACCTGAATGTACCACATAACAGGAAATAGTTCCTCCCCTCCTCACCCCAGTCTTTTATTATGCTTTTATTTCAGATAACTGTCTCTTCTTCCTAGCTAGATTGAGTTAAGAGCTGGGAGTCCACTGAACACCTTTGTTGTTGTTCAGTAGCTAAGTCTTGTCTGACTCTGCAACACCATGGACTATAGCACACCAGGCTTCCCTGTCCTTCACTATCACCTGGAGTTTGCTCAAACACATGTCCATTGAGTCAGAGATGCCATCCAACCATCTCATTCTTTGTCTCCCCCTTCTCCTCCTGCCCTCAGTTTTTCCCAGCATCAGGGTCTTTTCCAGTGAGCTGGCTCTTCACATCAAGTAGCCAAGATATTGGAGCTTCAGCTTCAGCATCCATTTCTGCCCTACTCACCCCCAGCCTTTTATTGTGCTTTTATTTCAGGTAACTGTCTCCTCTTACCAGCTACATTGAGCTAAGAGCTGGGAGTCCACTGTACATCTTAGCTCAGGACAAATACATACCAGGACTTGTCTGCTTTAAGTTCAAGAAACATCATCCACTTGTGCTAAGCAACTATACCCCACTAAAAATTAATTTAAACAAAGGAACACCTTTGAGTCAGTTCTAATTAGGTGGATGAACCTAGAACCTATTATACAGAGTGAAGTAAGTCAGAAAGAGAAAGATAAATATCATATTCTAATGCATATATACAAAATCTAGAAAAATGGTACTGAAGAATATACATTCAGGGCACAAATGGAGAAACAGACATAGAGAATAGACTTGGGGAGAGGAAGGGGAGGGTGGGATGTATGGAAAGAATAACATGGAATCTTACATTACCATAGTAAAGCCAATGGGAATTTGCTATATGGCTAAGAAAACTCAAACAGGGGTTCTGCATCAACCTAGAGGGGTGGGATGGGGAGAGAGATGGGAGGGAGGTTCAAAAGGGAGGGGATACGTGTATACTTATGGCTGATTCATGTTGAGGTTTGACAGAAAACAACAATTCTGTATAGCAATTATCCTTCAATAAAAAATAAATTATAAATAAGTTCCCAAAAAGTTTAAAAAAGAAGAAAACACCCACTTAGTGGATAAATAACATTATTTTGGCTGTGTTTAGCAGAGGAAGAGACTTCATGAGACCTCAGTGAGATGCTATTACTTGTAGGGAAATCTTGGAATGCACTGTCCAGAATACAAAGCCCAGGTAAGGAAAAAGTAAAACTTCCCTTACCTGCCTAGGAAGACATACTTTCCAGAGAGCATCTAAGTGGAGAAAGGATCAGAACTAATAGCCAAAAAGCATTTTTTAATATAACAGGAAATATCAGTGTCTAACTCCCAGTAAGAACTGAATCATAAAATTTTTTTCAGTTAATAAATACAAACATTTACTATGCTACAATACAATGTAAACTATTTCTTACTAGAGGTCACAGTCAAAAAATCCTGAAAGCCACTGGATTAGAGGTTGAGGCTGAAAGACTGACCAAAGAGGAGCCTGCTACAGAATCACAGCCTGGGCTGCTGAGGATGAAGAGATATAAAGGGGCCAGAGAGAGGCTCAGGAGACAGAAGCTGGGAAAAAAAAAAAAAAGAGGACTCCTTCTATTGCCCAGGTCAAGGGCCCACCACAATGTCTTATCCTCCTCTGCATCCCCACAGCAGTACTGTCCCGAGCACTGGCCTACCTCATTCTACCCACCAGACTGGGAGCTTCTATCTCCTTCCAATTTCCACTGAGCACAGGGTCTACACTCAGAAGATACAGTTATAAATGCCCATGAACTTGGGTTTCAGAGAGAGAGGTAGCAGGAAGCAATCAAGTAACAGGAGGAAGAAAAGGTACAGCTGAGCCTATCCCATGTGGGTGCTGATTCACAAACACATCAGGGAGGGTTAGACCATTTTATTGCAATTGCTAGACATGGATGGACAGGCAGTGACAAGCCTCAGCAGGGAGGGCAAACACCAACTAGATCAAGAGGGGAGGGGCAGGCGACTCAGAAACAGGACCTTGGAGGGGAAGGTGAGCAAAGAAGACTTCATCCTACTACAAGTCCTTACAGGTCACTTAGGAGTATCCTGGGGCCCTTAAAGAATAGGTCCTCTTGCTCAAGGCTCTGGGCCTGGAGCTGAAAGCTGCTGGGCTCTGGGTTAGAAAGGGTATGCCTCTGGAGATCTATGAGGAGAGAAAGGGGGAAAAAAAACAAATCATCAGCAAGCACTGTGTTACACACGGTCCTAGGCTTGGGCCATGTTGGGGAGGGACATACAGGCCTGATGGATAAGGAGCAACAGAGGTTGATGGATTTCCAAAGAAAGAGACAGAGACCCCATTCTATCCAGTGTCAAACAATTAGGCAGTTGGCGTCCAGGCACCACTCAGATTCAGCCTCCTGCTTTACCCTCACCTAGCTTCCTTAAAAGTTCCCAGCTACTGTTACTGTCCAGAAGCCTGACTTCAGAGCTAAATGAAGAAAGCGACATGGTGAAGGTGGGCAGTCAGGGAAGCTTAGATTGGAGGACATGAATGGAAGTCCTGCAAAAGGGAAAGAATCAGAAGTAGACATGGTGACAGTGGGTCAAGGGGCCCTCCCAGCACAGACCTGACCTGTCCTCCTTCCTGAAGCTAGGACTCCAGTCTCTTCCCCCTTTATCCTCCAAATACAGAGATACCTCAGAGACACTGTGTCAAACAAAGAAAATGTGCAGTACTGCCCATATGGGCTGTAACCCCCTACCATTCCCTACCAGCCCATGTCAAATCTGAGATAGCTGAACTGTGGTCTCCAATGCCTGGCCTCTGTGAGACAAATCCCTTCCACCACCATAAACACCCACACCTCCTGACCTGAGCAGGTCATGCTCCTGCCGGGCATCCTGGACCTCTGTTCTGACAGCCTCCAGGGTGTGACCTTTGCCGTCCAGGCCACTTTGCAGCTGATCCAACATCTGCCATACCATAGGGCCAGGTAGGATCAAACCTCTACCTCTCCAGGAGGAGCACCCGCCTCCCCGTGATTAGCCTCTTGAGCCCACTTGGAGCCCTCATGTGGACAAAGATAGTTTCTCATGTCCTGGAGCAGAGGGCTTGGGAAGAAGAGCTTTGGAGGGAGGTGGAGTCAGCACAAGGAAGAGATGGAAAGAGATAGGAGTAGGAGAGGGTATCCTGGCCTGCCCGCAAAACAGGATAGATAAAGGAAGGGGCCTCCAAAGGGAGAGATGAACAGATAGGTCCGATCCTGGTCCTACCTTCCAGCTGCAGGCCTGACCTTGCCGCCTCTCATTCATCTGTTTCAGCAGCAGCTCCTGGTGCTGGCCTGCAGATGAAAGAAAATGTGAAGGAACATCTCCAACTTCCTTCCTTCCCCTGGTCCCTGCCTTGCGCGCAGCCTGGCACTGGAAACGGACAGATACATTCTGGTCCAGCTACTGGGAAGTTTCCAACCTGACTGGAGAGACACACTCACACCATGTGAGGAAAGACAAAATACTTGGCCAGGTTTCCGGGTAGCTCAAGCAAAGGTATGGTCATTTATTAGGAAAGCAAGAAGGCTTTTCAGAAAAGGGAACAGGTGGATTCACACCCACCCTCAACCTTTTACTCACTCAACTGGTCCCGAAGCAACTTTAGGTCCTCCCGAAGAATCTCTGACTCCTTGCACAGCAGTTGCCACCTTCAGGGATAATAGCAGTATCACTCTAAAGCCAATTAACAAGCCCAGAGGAGGCTACCAGAGTACCAGGAGTTCAGGGCTGAAGAAGACAAGGTTTTGCCCATCACTTACTCATTCTGAAGCTCTTCGTGAAGGCCACTGGTGCAACTGCACTCCTGTGGTCCTGTCTGTATTTGGGCTCGGGCCTGTTCCTGCACCTGGCTTCGAAGGCCCTGCAGTTCCCTTCTCATCTCTTCCAGGCGTTGCTCCAGGAGAAGGACCCTTTGCTCTGGGCCCCCCTGCAGCAATCTTAGTGATGCTACAGTGAGACAAGTTGGGGATCAGCCCCCTAAGAACTTCACACAAGAGTCTCTAGACTCCACTTGCAAATCAAGACACAAGTGCACAGAAGAGCCACAAAATGTGCACACACATTTGAGGCTGTGTATATGAAGAAAAGAACAATCAGATACCTTCCAGGGCAGAGATAGTGTACTTCTGCTGCTCTCGCTCTTCCAGCAGGCCCTGGACAGCCTGCCGTAGTGCTTCAGTCACCTACCCAGGCAGAAAAGCCCCATGAGTTCCCCAACCACTGGTAACCTCATCTCACACTCACACAAACCCCAAATATACACACCTCAGGAGTCCATGCCTCACCTGAGCCTGGGATCGAAGCTGGGATCGAAGAATAGTAACTTCGTCCCAGAGTGAAGATGCACTGTGGGCCTCAGCCCAGTTTAGCCTCTCTGGGAATACGGGAGCCTCTAGAGCCCAAGCCTTTTGAGCTTGGATTCCTGACTGGGTAGGCAAGTGATGAGGGGAAATCCAGGTCCCAGCCAGGTCTCCTGCTGAGGGAAAAAGGAAGGGACAAGTGCAAAGCCCCTTAGGTGGAGGGGGGAACAGACGTTTCTTCAGGCAAAGAAAAAGTTGGAATTTGAAAGGAACAGTGGATAACACTGGAAAGAAAGGCTGAGGGACAATATTCACCCCCAGTAGAGACTCCAAGTGGATACAGCCGTTGCTACAAAAGAAACAAATGCACAGGCCAATGAGTTCTGTTTTGCAATTTATTAACCCACATCCCCTAAACAGGGGGGCAGAGGGATTCAGGCGCCCCCTCACCTTAATTCTGCTCACATTTCGGTCCGTAGCATTGAGAAGCGCGTCGAGCTGCTCAGACCAGCTCAGGCTCCTATTCATGGCCTGCTGCAGGGGTCTGGCTTCCTGGCGTCTTGTGCCCTTGCTTCCCACACTGTGGATACCCAAGACACAGCCCAGGGAAGACCACAACGTAAGCTCTAAAGAGGTGAGTGGGGGGATGCAATACTAAAGGTAAGGAAGCAATAATCAGACCAAAACTGCGCTTCTGGGACTAGTCCGGGGAGCGGCGTCCTTAAGGAACTAGGGGGAAAGCGGGATGCACCGATGAATAAATATCAATTGGGAACTGAAGATGCTAAATCTTAGTTTAGACGTCCCCAGACTCACAACTAGCGCCATAACACCAAAACTGTGCCAGTAACCACTGCCGCCGCCCAGTTCAAACCTTACGGTAGGCCGGAAAACCCGACTTCGGACTGGCCTCCGCGGCGCCACTTGGGAAATTGAGTTCGCCTCTATTGGAGACAATCGGCGATGGAGGCCACCGAACTACGTCTCCCTGGAAGCAATACGCGCAGTCACAGTCCCCCCCTCACCGTGAAGCTTGCCGGGAAACCGAGTTTTTCTGCATCTGTAGTGGGTGCCTCTACGAACTGAATGAACTACGTGTCCCAGGATGCATCGCGCGGAGACCACACAGTCCCGCAGCTGATCCCCGTAACTGTTGGGAAATGGAGTCCAAGCTGTCTCAAAGCGTAAAGTCCCGAGTAACCTTGAGACTCCATTCCCCAGCAGGCTCAGTGTGTAACGTGCACTATGGAGCCGCTAGTCGCAGAGCTGAAGCAGAAGATTGAGGACAAGTTGTGCCCTTTTGGCTTCGAAGTTTACCCCTTCCAGGTTGGTTTATCCCTGCTGCGGTGCTAGGGCGAAGCGTATGGATGGCTTCGGTGCCACTAACGTGAGGCCCGTGCATTTTCTGATCTTTCTCGAGCTCCTCTGGCCGTGTGTCTGTTTGATTGTCGAGACAGGGCGCTTGGGCTAAACGGGTACAGTAGCGTTGCAGGTTTGTTCTTTCGTTGTTGTTGTTGTTCAGTCGCTCAGTCGTGTCCGACTCTTGGTGACCCCATGGACTGCAGCACGCCAGGTTTCCCTGCCCATCAACACCTCCCGGAGCTTGCTCAAACTCATGTCCGTTGAGTCGGTGATGCCATCCAACCATCTCGTCCTCTGTCATTCCCTTCTCCTCCTGCCTTCAGTCTTTCCCAACATCAGAGTCTTTCCAACGAGTCATCTCTTTTACTCTCATACAATGCTGCATTTATGAGTAGGGGACACCATGTGATCCAGTAACCTCGTGGTTTTGTCACCTAGGTAATTTAGAGGAGGAAGGGGATCTGTGGAGCCAGAGTCACTTTGGAAGCTTCCCAAAGGAGTTTAGGAGAGGGCAAGGTCTGGGAATGTTTGTATGGCTCATGAGCAAAGGGCATTCTGGATGTTGAACAAGCAAACAGTTGGCTTAGTTGTTCGATCTACCTGCAAAAGGTTACATTCATGATGTTGCTAATCATCAATGTTGGGCTGGGTTTAGAAACTGTACACTTGCCTGACGCAGAAGTCTGGCATCAGGACCTACCCTTATTCACGTAGGTCCATCTCCCCCCACATCCAGTGCCCTCTGCACTGATCCCTGTGCTTAATGCAGGGCTAAATCAACTCAACCTGAGCCTTCTGCCTGATGCTTAAGAGGCCACCCTTTCCACTTTCCACTGAGTGGTATACAGCAATGCTGGGAGAGGATTATAGAGGAAGAGGTAGTTGGGTCTAGCCTCAGAGAGGCTTCCCTGGAAAAAATGGAGTTGAGCTATATATGAAAAGATAGATAGGAAGGAAGGAGGGTCATGTACATCTCAAATATCAGGAATAGCTTGAGTCAAGGTATGGAGATAATGGTGGATGGCAGGTGTGGGAGAGATTGGGGATACCTATCTGATATAATCAAGAAGACCTTGGTAGTAGGAGCTGTGGTATTGAACAGTGCCACTTACAACCCTGCCAGTCATCCTATGTTCCTACTTCTCTCACCTTCCCAGCGCCACATACAGTCATCCACAGCAATCTTGAGGAATCTGTCTCCTAAATCTCACAGATCCATTTCCTTCCATTCAACCAATCTATGCCCTGGTTCAGCCCACTATTAGTCATTTGGATTTCTGCAATAAACTCCTTGCTGTCACTTTGCCTCTATTCCTTCCTCCACACTGCAGCCAGGTTTATCTAAAACTGATCATGTCAGTTTGCTTCTTAAAACTTCAATGGCTAACCCCTCACTATCAGCAAATTAAATCCATATTCCTTCAATTGGTATTCAAGGCCACAGTCTCATTCTTACTGATCTCTCCAGCCTTCTCTCCCTCTGCTCCCCTCCACAGATGCTACATTTCTATCAAACTAGACCATTTGCTATTCTCCTAGTATGCTTTGCATTTTTTGCCTGTTTAAAACACACACCAGATTCTCCCTCTCCACGTCAGCCTATAAGTTGCCTTCCCAGCCATCAAGACTCAGCTTCCAAGAAGCCTTTTCTAATTTCAGAGGACCTTCATTGGCCCTGTTATTGCACTAACCACAATACAATCAATTTTTAATTTTTTTTTTTTCAATTTATTCTTTTTCTTAGTTGTTTATGAATCCTTTGCCTATTATAACTCTGTCAGATGAGTGTCCCACAAACACACGTCACACTGCATCAGGAGAATTTCATTGTTTGAACAAGAAGGAAGCTGGGCAAGATGCATGAAACCTTGAATGCCAGGCCAAGGTATGGGCCTGACTAAGGCCTAAGTTGACCCTCTTGTGCAGCCTGAATTTTCTCTCTGTTCCAGGTGGCATGGTACAATGCACTCCTGCCTCCAGCCTTCCACCTGCCCCTGCCAGGACCCACACTGGCCTTCCTGGTACTCAGCACACCTGCCATGTTTGACCGGGCCCTCAAGCCCTTCCTGCAGAGCCACCATCTCCAACCACTGACTGACCCTGTGGACCAGTGTGTGGCCTACCACCTGGGCCGAGTTAGAGAGGTGAGCAAGGCTGGCTATGACCTCACCCAGCTTCCAAACCTGCATCTACTTCCAGTTCCTCTAAGCTCAGTATAGAATCTAGACCTACGGCAAGGAGCCACTTCCCCAGCTCCTAAAGCCAGCCTTGACATTGTGATCTCTCCCCATTCTGCCTTCTCATCTCATGTTTAGCCAACCCCTCTAGCCAACCAGGTCTGCAATGGATCAATCTCCCCCTTCACTGATGGGCATCTTGATGAGCAGACTTCCCTTGACCTCCAAGTGAAATAGGAATAAGCCCCCAAATTCTCCATGCATCTCTCACCTGTCTTTGCCCTAGACCTGGGAGCCTTATGGGGTCTTTTGAAAGACAGAACAGGATCCCTGCACTACATACTTTACATATATATATAAATACATATACATACACTGGGTCTCCCCAAAGCTGGACCATGTCTTCCTCTGCACTGGGCCTCTGGAGGGAAGAGCTGTAGCAGAGGTTTCTGAACAATCCTAAACAGAATTATCATTTTCTTCACACTGGAGCCTCCAATTCCACTCCAAGTTTAAGGTCATGTTTTCCCTTTAAACATGACTTCTAAGGACAGGGACATGTTAACACAACTGAAGGTTCTGTTGAACATGATCATGATTCCTGTTGTGCTGAAAATCTTCATCTTATCCTCTATCCCAGAGCTTCCCAGAGCTGCAGATAGAAGTCATCGCTGACTACGAGGTACACCCCAACCGTCGCCCCAAGATCCTGGCCCAGACAGCAGCCCATGTAGCAGGGGCTGCTTACTACTACCAACGACAGGACGTGGAGTCTGACCCTTGGGGGACCCAGGTCAGAGGGCAAGTATGAGCAAATAGGGGCTGAGAAAGAAAATGAAATAAAAATCCCTCAAGATTTCAAGTCCCAGGAATTCCCTGGTGGTCTAGTGGTTAGGATTCCAGGTTTTCACTGCCATGGTCCCAGTTCAGTCCATGGTTAGAGAACTGAAATCCTGCTAACCATGTGGTGCCGCAAAAAAAGAAAAATTTCAAGTCCCATTCTTCTACCTTCCCTGGGTAAAGGAGTTGCTGGGTACAATGCAGGACAAGAGTGCACCATGGTCAATGATCCAGTTCCACAATTTGTCTACTTGCAGACACATCAGGTCAGAGAAAGTGAAGTGTTAGTTGCTCAGTTGTGTCCAGCTCTTTGCTTTGCGATCCCATGGACAGTGGCCCACCAGGCTCCTGTACACAGAATTCTCTGGGCAAGAATACCCAGGGGATCTTCCCAATCCAACCCAGGGACTAAACCCATGTCTTCTTCACTGGCAGGCAGTTTACCATCTGAGCCACCAGGGATCAGGTTAGAGAACTAGTCTCTTATTCTTTGTGACAGAATGGAGCAGGTAGAGCTGTGATTAAACCCACAGTGAGACTGGGAAGCTGAGGTTCAAGTTTAAGGAAACTCTGCTTGGGGTCAGTGACTTCATGAAGAGTTAACGGAGTAGGGGAGCCCAGCCAAGACCAACAGAAGTTAATGTATGTATGCAGCACAGCTTGTGGGATCTTAGTTCCTTGACCAAAGACAGAACCTGGGACCTTGGCAGTGACAGCGTGGAGTCCTAACCATTGGACCACCAGGGAACTCCCTGACAGGCTCACATGTAGAATCACTCTGTTGAATGAGAAATAAGTGAACTAGCTTGCACTGATGGTAGTTATTGGTGCCCATGTGACCACCATAACCTTGCTTTCTCTCCCCAGCACATAGCAGGTGTATGCATACATCCCAGATTTGGGGGCTGGTTTGCCATCCGAGGGGTAGTGCTGCTGCGAGGAATAGAGGTGCCGAATCTGCGACCCACAAAGCCCCTTGACTGTGTACCCACAAGAGCTGACCGCATCACCCTGCTTGAACGCTTCAATTTCCATTGGCGTGACTGGACTTACCGGGATGCTGTGACACCTCAGGAGCGCTATTCAGAAGAGCAGAAGGTGTACTTTTCCACTCCTCCTGCCCAACGCTTGGCCTTACTGGGCTTGCCCCAGCCCTCAGAGGAGCCTAGCTCTCCATCCCAAGAGATTCACTTCACTACACTCTTACCCAAGAAGCCTCAGAATCCCAGGAGAGGCTGGCTCAGCCCCACAGTTTCCCCACCTACATCCCCCGGTCCCTGATACCTTCCCTGCCTGTGGGATCCTCATTTAGGGCATTGGCACCTGTTAGACTTTTACACTACTATTAATATTTTGCCAGGGAAGAAACTTATTTTGGGTATAAAATGATTATTTTTGATTAAGAATTATAGTAGAGATCCTAAATGAAATGAAAATAACAAGGCTCAGGAAAGTTTGGTTAAGACAGAAGACCACCACCACCAACAAAAAGACGACCAAAGTAGATCCAGACCTCCCACCTGCCTTGGAATATGGGATCGCTACCTGTTACCATTTCTCTGCAGTGCTTCAAAATACTACCTGTTGCAGGGCCTAAGGAGGAACTATCCCCTAAATAATAGTACCTGCTTCAGAGGGTTATCATGGTGACTGAATAAATGTGAAATTGCTTAGCATATAGTAAGCTGTTGATGAAGGCCCTGGGAATCCTGCCCACAGGTAGGCTGGGCTAGTGGGGGGGTGTGGTGTCTGGAAGGGCACATATTACTGAAGGATCTTCAGTTGTAAATCTGCCCTAGCCTTGGGCCCAGGAGAAATCCACCTTCCCCCCACTGACAGCCCTCCCTCAGAACACACATACGAATGAGAACAGTTCAGTCATGTCCAAATCTTTGCAACCCCATGGACCGCAGCATGCCAGGCTTCTCTGTCCATCACCAACTCCCAGACATTACTCAAACTCGTGTCCAAGTTGGTGATGCCATCCAACCATCTCATCCTCTGTCATCCCCTTCTCCCACATTCAGTCTTTCCCAGGATCAGGAAAGATGGGGCTTCCCTGATAGCTCAGTTTGTAAAGAATCCACCTGCAATGCAAGAGACCCCAGTTCGATTTCTGGGTTGGGAAGATACACTGAAGAAGGGGGAAAAGCTACCCTCTCCAGTTTTCTGGCCTGGAGAACTCCATGGACTATATAGTCCATGTGGTTGGAAAGAGTCAGACAGGACTGAGCAACTTTCACTTTCATGAGAACAAGAACTACCCTTAAATCAAGGCTGGAAACCCAGGGAAGCCAAGAGGTGCTCACCACTGTGTTTCTGAAACAGAAATCCAGCCCTGGGTTTGCCTCCCCCTTTCAATTCCAAAGATACCTAAAGCCCGTAACTCTGTAATCTTAGACACAGTACCAGGCATTTATCCAGGTTTTCATGCAGCCCTCGTAGTACTGGAAATGTCAAGAACCTCACTGCAACCCAGCCTACAGCATAAACTGCGGTGCCTTGGCTGATACTGTAGCAGGTCTTGCTCTTTTCCCTGTTGTCTATGTACATTTTCCCTCAATATCATGTCATGATTCTGAGGCAGCTCTTACACCTCATTTTCTCCCCAAGCAGGAAAGCAGAGTAAATTCCTCTTAAAATCAAAGGCTAATGCCACCGTCCCCCCCCCCCCAACCAATGAAGAATCAACAAGGTCTCATTTAAAATTTAATAAAACTACAAAAGATCAAAAGTGATACCCCCTTACTGTATACATCAGTTGGCCGTCCAGAGGAAGAAAGGCTGGCCTCCCCAACCCCTGCAGGAAAGGCCAGTCCTGTCCCACAGACATCCTGGCGGAGTGTAAAATCATGGTTTTAAGCATGAAAATAGGACAAAAGAGGTTTTGTTTTCAAGGCTGCCTACTGCAGCCTGGCCCTAAAATGGCCCAGTGCTCACTTCTGCTTAGAGAAATATTCTTTGCTCTTCTGGACATCAGGCTTGATAGTATCACTGCCAGGCTTCCAGCCAGCTGGGCACACTGCAAGAGAAAGGGAACTGATTAATAACCGGATCAGTAGTGAGCTCCACTCTCCTAAGGACAACTGGATACCTCAAAACCAAATCTGAGCCCTAAAGGTCTTCAACATTCAGGTACCAGGAGGCCTACCCTCCAGTCAGATCAATTCAGCCTTTTAATACAAGACTAAGTAATCCTCACCATAGGCCCAATTACTATAATTTTCATGCAGTAACTGGAATTTAAAGAAATTAACAGCTTCAACTTTATGCTGTTCTAAAAACAATCTATCTAAACCATGTATGGCAAAATATTTGAGATTTTGTTAACAGTGGGTAGTAAGTAAATGGGTACTCATATGCTTTCTGTAATTTTATGCATGCTTCAAAAATGCATCTTTTGAAAAATAAGCTTCAAAAGATGGTTCTGGAATAGCTTAACTTCCACATGTACAACAATGATGCTGGACATCTATTCATACCATATACAAGAAATTTACTTAAAAACAGATCAAAAATCTAAGAGCTAAAACCATAAATTTTTTTAATTAAAGGATAATTGCTTTACAGAACTGTTTTCTGTCAAACCTCAATGTGAATCAGCCATAGGTATACGTATGTCCCCTCCCTCCCGCCTCCCTCCCCATCCCACCCCTCTAGGTTGATACAGAGTTCCCTGAGACATACAGCAAATTCCCATTTGCTATCTAATTTACATATGGTAATGTAAGTTTCCATGTTACTCTCTTCGTACATCTCACCCTCTCCTCCCTTCTCCCCATGTTCGTAAGTCTGTTCTCTATGTCTTATATAAATTCTTCAGTACCATCTTTCTAGATTCCATATATATACATGTTTGTATACGATATTTATATTTCTCTTTCTGACTTACTTCACTTTGTATAAAGGGATCTAGGTTCATCCAAAAATCCATAAATTCTTTGAAGACAACCCACAGAATGAGAGAAAATATTTATAAATCGTATCTAATGAGGGATTAATAGCCAAAATTAAATCCAAACTCCCACAACTCAACAACAGAAAGACAATTCAAAAATGAGCAAAGGACTTGAAAACAGATGTATCTCCAAAGATATACAAATGGTCAATAAACACATGAAAATATGCTATTACCAGTCATTAGGGAAATACAAATCAAAACCACAATGAGATACCACTTCATATTCCCTAAGATGGCTATAGTTTAAAAAAAAAAAAGATGGAAAGTAAATACTGGGAAGGATATAAAGAACCCTTGGTATTGTTAGTGGGGATGTAAAATGGTAGAGGTGCCGTGGGAAAGTCTGAAAATTCCTTAAGAATCTAAACAGAATTACCATAGGACCCAGAAATTCTACTCCTATGTATATATTCAAAGTAACTAGAAACAAGGATTCATATATATTCACTAATATTTTAGCAACATTATTCACAATAGCCAAAAGGTGGAAAAAACCTGTTAACAGACAAAATGTAGTATACATAGGAAAAGTGAAAATTGCTCAGTTGTGTCCAACTCCTTGCGATTCCATGGATTGTAGCCCAACAGGCTGCTCTGTCCATGGGATTCTCCAGGCAAGAATACTGGAGGGGATTGCTCCACCCCTTTCCAGGGGATCTTTCCCACCCAGGGATTGAACCTGGATTTCCTGCACTACAGGCAGATTCTTTCCTGTCTCAGCCACCAAGAAGTATACATATAAAATGAAATATTATTCAGCCTTTAAAAAGAATGAAGTTCTTATACATACTACAGCCTGGATAAACTTTTGAGAACCTTAAAAACATTATGCCAAGTGAAGGAAACCAGACACAAATGGATAAACATTGTATGATTTCACTCATATGAAATATTAAAAATAGGTAAATTGATAGATGGAGGGAAAGGGGAATGGTGAGTTATTTCTTCATGGTTACTACTACTACTGCTTGTTTGCTGCTGCTGCTAAGTCGCTTCAGTCGTGTCCGATTCTGTGCGACCCTGGAATTCTCCAGGCAGAAACACTGGAGTGGGTTGCCATTTCCTTCTCCAATGCATGAAAGTGAAAAGTGAAAGTGAAGTCGCTCAGTCGTGTCCAACTCTTCGCGACCCCATGGACTGCAGCCTACCAGGCTCCTCTGCCCATGGGATTTTCCAGGCAAGAATACTGGAGTGGGGTGCCATTGCCTTTTCCAACTGCTTGTTTGGTATGATGAAAAAGTTTGAGAAATAGTGATAGATATACAACACTGATGTTAACTAGTGCCACTGAATTAAATGCTTAAAAAGGTAAATTATATCCTATATAACCACAGAAAAACTGACCAAAAAAAAAAGTGACTTACCCCCCAAGAAAAAAATACAAGCTAAAAAATGACAAAGTTAGGACTGTGTAAACCCTAACACTAAGCTGCTGCTTCTATCAGCTGGCTCTTCAGAGATATGAAAGCAGCAGTTTGCCTTCTCAGTGTTCCTTAACTCTGCCAAACAAGAATGCCTGAAACACAAAGGGGCAGGACACCTCCACAAGGTCCTGCTTGTTTAACTAAGTGATTGCCTTCTATACCTTGGTAAGCAAAAGGTCTGAGTTTTAATCTCTCAAACACTTCATGCAGAAAAGTATAACCTTCAGTCTTTCCTATGATCCTGAGTGAGCAATGCTCCTTGGGAAAACCTGAGGAAAGTGAGATAAGGGGAGCAATCTCTCATATTCCACTCTTCACCTGTTGTTTTGTCTTGCAGGAGACATATAGTCACCAAAGTCCAGTAACAAAGCAGCAAAAGTCTCACTTTCTCCAGTGAGAGAAGCGAAGCCCTTTTCTCCCCTTGGATGTCATAGCCTCAGAGGTCAGACACTACAAACAGCCATCTGGGAACAAGGTATGGAAGCACTTAGCTGCTTTACAAAATCTCCACTTGATCCTTACATAGTCATTCCCTTTAGTGCCACCAAAGGGTTAGAGCACAGGTCATAAGTATAAACAAGCATCTGAGAATAAAGAGCAGCATAAAATCAGAGACCAGACCCAGCAGTTTACCACCAGGGAAACCAAAGATTCTTCTGTCCTGGAAGAAAACACAGCTTTAGAAGAGTCCAATTACAAACCACGACACAAAGATAGGAGGAATAATGAGCCAGAAAGAATAACCTTGACAACTTAGTATCCTTGCACTAGGGCCTCTTGGCACTTAAGACTGTACCCATAATCAATGACAGGACGGAAAGATCCACACTTGGACTCATATCCAACAGTGCTGGATTTTTAGAATTAATACGAAGCTCAGCACAACTGGCTGAATCCAACATTTACCAGCTTCCAATAGAAGCTGAAGTACAACTCTCCCCAACACAGAAGGCTCTAAACAATGCCTTTCTCAGCATTTTAAATTATGTAAAAAAAAGGAGGGCTTTGAATTTTGATCCCAGTTCTACCATTAACTGAATACATGCAGTGTTTCAATAGTGGTTTATTGGTCCTAAAAACAGGAACACAGGGGCTTCCCTGGTGATTCAGTGGTGAAGAATTCACCTGCCAACACAGGAGACATTTCCACCCCTGATCTGGGAAGATCCCACATGTCACAGAACAACTAAGCCCACGCAACCCAACCACTGAGTTTTAGAGCCCAGGAGCCACAGCTACTGAAGCCTGCGTGCCCAAGAGCCCGCAGCCCACAAGAGAAGCTCCCATGATG